AAGAAAAAAATAATGAAATATTTATTTTATATATGCATCAAAATAGTATAAAAAAACGTAACAAAAATTGTTTATCAATAAAATGATAATATAAAATGATGATATATTTGATAATAAAACTATATTTAAAAAACAATAGCGAGACTATTATTTTACATATAGGAATTTCGACAAAATTCAATGGACTTAAATTTTGATTTTGAACACGTAGAAACACTTTTGCGTTGCGCATAATATTCGTTTTCGCAAAAAATTTATCTGGCCCATTAGTCCCCCCTTATTCAGATTCTAGATCCGCCGCTGGTCAAGGGTGTCACGATTTGTTATTTTTCAATTAGGTGTGCCACTCAATGAAAAAGGTTGAAAAACACTGTTCTAGCTAGTTGGACCTTGAATTGGATGTATGTAACATGTATATTTAAAAATGGCGTGATGTAAGCGCAACAAGGCGAGAAACGAAACCGAAAAAAAAGAGGACTAACGATAAACGAGATGTTTATGAAGGGATCTTGAAGTCATTATTTAATTAAAAGTAAACGTTTCATACAAAGTTCGGGTTACGAAACGTCTAAAGTACCAACAGATGTCCACAGGCAAAAAAGTAATTGTGTGAGGCTCCGGAAGTGGGTCAAGATTCGTGCAAAATTTATAATTATAATTATTATTCTTATAATATTGTAAAAAGAAACCGTCAAACGCAAAATGATTATTTTATGTCCATATAAGGACATATCTGTAAAAATTTCTAAGAAAGTCGAACTACTCAGGTTAAGCCTTAGCCCCGAAAGGCAGTATCATAAACGTGGTTTATAAAGAAGCACTGGGGTAACTAAAACTTTTTCTGTAAGTGTTTATACTTTAGGAATTTTCAGATAACGTCATTTATGTTTCGAAAAAAAAAATTGAACTCAGAATTTTCGTATCTCGGAATCCCATAATATTTGAAACTTGAATTTAGGTGCATTAGCAGTCCATAGTTTGAAACAAACAAAAATCAGTAATTTTACCAAATTAGTAACTAATGATTGAGAATCTTAGTAAAGTACCGAGGGAGGGTTCTTTCTACCAAATTGCAAAATCTGCGCGAGTGAAGCCGGGGGTAACAGCTAGTATATTATATTTTTACTGTCACTGAAATTGTAAATTTTAAGAGTTCAAAAAGATTTATTAAAGAACTCTTAAACATACTCAAATTTTTGTTTTGCCGATATTAAAAAACAGTTGTGAGGTTTGCCGATTGGGAGAAAGTGTCGCGACAGTCGAGCGGTCAGCACTGTCGTGTGGGAGTGAAAAACTTAATAAGTCTTAGCCCCGACGAAACTATAAATGCACACTTCTTGATAAATCCAAAAGCAAACGACTTTCTGGATTATTCAAAATCCCTGGCCATCATCATGTTTGGATAATCGAGTTCCACTGTGTGTGTGTGTGTGTGTGTGTGTGTGTGTGTGTGTGTATATATATATATTTATTCAAAGCTCATCATATTTATACACAGTAATTTTGTAAGAACTACTTATTTTTATTTCTGCAAATATATTTTTATTATAACATGCTGGTCACAGTTTATCTCCCAGATCATTATGCAACTTCAAGACCAATACATTTAGAAGATGAGATATTTAGGAATATCATTTAACAGGGCAGTAGGAAGGGGGAATGAAATTGTTGGCCAAAAGAGAGTGATTGTCATGTTAAAGGGAAAAGCAATACCTTAAGGATTGCTTTCCCCTATAGAAAAGTCTATTGGTTTGATCTGACAGTGTTACATGCTAGCAATGATTTGAAACTGTATTTGTAATGTTGTTGCAAAAAGTGGTCCAGCCAATACAGGACTGGCCAAATATGCTCCTACAGCCTTACTTAATTGAAAAAAAAAATTGTCTTGCAATAGAAACTGGAATTCACAAAGTCAAATTGTAATTTATTATATAAATGTCTACTAGGACATATCATATTAATAGGACTTATTGTACTGGTGTTCCGTTTCTGGAAAATTGAAGAAAACTTATTCAGGAAAAACAATCTCTATTGTTAACCTGGTATTTCACCTGATTATGAATTGAATTCAAATTGTTATTATTTTCTTTTTTCTAATTGTTCATGAAGTAATATGAACTTACACCTGAAGTTGTCATTGTTTTTACTTTTATTATTAAGTCTCTATTTGTAACTCCAAGAAAATGATTATTAAAAGTTTACTTATTGCACACATTGTTAGTGAAAATGAAAAGGAAATGCCAATCACAGAATTACATCTTGATGGTTAACTGAATTTCAATCATATCAGTCCAATATATACAGGTTTTTATCACTCATTAGCATAATGAGTCACCTCTCAGCTTTAAATAATGCTATTGCTTTTGAGATCTATTCTTGCAAGTAAAAATTCTTGGATTTGAGAGGGTCTTCTATAAAAATCATGTGTATATAAAATGTGAGCAGATTATGTACACACACAAACTCCACCCCCTCACTATAGGTTTGGCCAGCCCACAATAAGGCAGCTCTTATTAGCATTTAATGTACTTTTCTTTATGTACAATATTTTACAACTTCTTACAATTTAACAAAGTCTAAATTTTCTAGAATTCTTTAAATAATCATAAGTGTACCAGGTACAGGTGAACAATATTTCATTATTTCTTATTGCAAAGTTATACAGTAGTACCTCAGGATACGAATGCTTCAGCATATGACACGAAGTTCGAACATATTTTTGCTCCACAGTCCGAATGTTTGCTTCGTCGTGGAAGGTTCTTGCTCAATAAAGGAAATCTTGAGGTATTATCAGAAAGTGACTGATTTTATTGAAAAGAAACATCCCAAAAAGGTTCACACTGGCCTTATTGCTTGCTGCTCAGTTTAATGACATTTGCCTAAGTAATTTTAGAAACATTTTAAAATGTCTAAATTTTCTAAATTCTTTAAATAATCTACTTTTTAAAAAAGTAGGAAAAGCCAAACCTCTTTGAATAGATATTTTACCAAGCGACCTCTATCCAGTGAAAGTGCTGATGGAAGTGAAGGAAAGAAAGCAAAAAGTAGTGAATAAAAATTAAAAAAAAAAAATATAATATAAAACAACACTAATTTT